AAACCCGGGATAACCATGATGGGCGGGTAATATGACTAGTGTATCGACCTACATCATCGTGTCCGAAGCGTAGACCAATGATTAAGCAAAACTCCTCCCGCCCAAAACACGTATACGCCGGTGGAAAATGAAACCATATCTCTTCATTACCACGTTCTATACTCTCGGGTAGATCGCGTGTCATGGTCTGAAGCCACAAATGGGTCAACATAGCATCTCCACCCAGATGTTGTACTTTCAGCCATGGCCCGAAGCAAGTATCCTCAAACAATTGTCTTTGTACAGGTGAAAGCTTCGACGCAATTGTAGTGACTAGGCTTATTTTATTCCTTAAGGTCAATTGAGCCAAAAAAAAGTTCTACAAAAACAATAAACATACCAAGTTAGATATACCAAAAACTACACTGTGAAGATATACCAAAAACAATAATAAACATAAAGCGTAGTAGTTTATTCTTTAAACTTAATTTTGCAACACTGTGAATTTCGTATTTGTCTTTGTTTTTTGGTTGAAGTAATGCAATTCATTCAAGTTTCAATTTGCAGAAGAAGAATAGTTTCTGAAACTTAAAATCGCAACACGAAAATGAAAATCGCAACACGAAAATGATTATTGCAACGCGAATTTGACTATCGCAACGCGAAATGGCTATCGCAACGCGAATTTTGTCGTTGCGATTTTCATTTTGCATTGCGATTCTCGGTTTCAAATGGTCATTGTCTAAAATTGAAACTTGAATGAATTGCATTACTTCAACCAAAAGACAAAACAAAGACAAATACTAACTTCACAGGGTTAAAGACTAAACAGTAGCAGTATTGGCAGCAATCTATTATTGAAATTACCAGTAAACTTATCATTAATTTCAATATGAAAAACCTAATAATAATATAAAAATTTCAAAATAAAAATAATTAAAAAAAACTAACCATCGGTGGTTGATTTGGTTGATTTTCCATTTCTGATCGTGAATGATTGTGAGGGTGGATCTGAGAGATGGAGATAGACGGATTTTGCTGGAGATGGGGACGGATTTCGCCGGAAATGGGGACGGATTTCGTAGGAGATGGGGACGGATGTCGCCGTAGAGAGTGAGAGATGGAGATGAGACTGAGTTGTGATTTAGGGTTTTAGGTTAAGAGTTACGATTACGGGTAAATATTCGTGTTTGGAATTTGAAAATAAAATACGCGTTGCGATACTAATGGCGCTTTGAAAATCGCATTGCGATTTTATATTATCGCAACGCGATAGTTAGAATCTCGTTGCGATAGTCAGAATCGCGTTGCGATAGTAAGAATCGCGTTGCGATCACGTGTTATCGCGTTGCGATTTACATATTCGCATTGCGATTTACATATTCACATTGCGATTATCTAAAATCGCAACGCGGATTTCGAAAATCGCAATGCGATGGTCAAAATCGCGTTGCGAATCTGGAAACTGAATTGCGATAATGGAGATCGCGTTGCGATTTAGAGATCGCATTGCGATTTTGTTGGTCATTTTGGCAAATTGTAAAAAAGTTGGTTAAAATCGTATATTATAAGGAATTTTCGGTCACTGAGGTTATTTTTTTTTTTTAAATGAGGATGGTCGAGAATTGTTTTTGGAGATGGTCACGTGGGTGTGACAAATTCCATAAAATATATTAAAATATTGAAATTCATTATAGGAACGTGATATGTTTCATACAATTTTATTCCATATCATATGACATGTTTTAATTTTTGATATATTTTATGAAACTCATCACGTGGGTCTGACGAGTTTCACGAACAATGTACCAAATGGCCTAGATCTCAAAATAAATTCGAAGGTTTCTTATTTTGCTAATTAATTATTCCACATGCATTATTAGCCTAATTTTACCCTTTTAAATGCCTAAATTATACTTTAAATTAACTTTTGATGTTTAACGAATTTTTCGCTAAGAATAGGTGTCTAACGTTTTTCTGTTACACTTTTAGGTTGTAACTTTTAGGTGTCCACCGTTATAATATTTTTTATTTTTAATAATAAAATATTATTTTTTTAAAGAAATAAAAAAATAACCCGCGTCATTCCTCTTCCTCCCATCCCTCACATCTGACGATGATGAAGGGTCACCACCAGCTGGGTTTTGTTCGAAGCAAGGCGAGGAACTCAATGGTGGCGGTCGAGTAATGTACGACCAACTATAGTCATTGAAATCGTCGAAAAATAGCAAAGGAAAACTTAGAAATTCGGCAACCCTTTACGGCATTTTTCACGACAATCGACACAATTTCATGGTGGGTGGGGATTGGGTTTTGGTCGTGGTGGCGAGACAGTTTTGATGGTGTCAATGGTGACGGCCACGGACCGACAATGGCCGATCGAGGATAAAAAATAAATTTTGATTTTCTTTTAAAATTTTAATATTAAAATCTTTTTTTAAAATCTTTTTTTAAAATTTATATGCATGATACGTGGCAAATAACTATCGATACGGTCTAGCAATCTAAGAGTATAACGTTGGAAACGTTAGATATTTATTTTTAACGAATTTTTTTTAAGCACCAAAAGTCAATTTGAAGTATAATTTAGGTAGCTAAATTGCATTAAGCCAATTATTATTGGTTTTGCTGTTATATTTGGATGACATTTACCGGAAAACAACATAAAGGAAGAAAAATCTTCAGCTGACACTATCGCATACAATGTCCAATAGAGTAGTATTTCATCAGTACTGAATGACTCTATTGAATCTCAAGATTCTGCTCATCTTCTTTACAGCCTGGAAGAATTTTCCATTCATCTTATCACTCCTCCAGACGTTATCTTCATCTTAAGAAATCCATGTCCATCAACTTTTGAAGCATACTTGCTTGAAATTCATTTCCAAGGTATGTGTATGGATATATATATTGGTATTTCACATTCACCGAAATCTAGCTCCTCTTTTGAAGCATGGTGCAATGAGATTCACGGTTTTGTGTCACTGAAAGCATATATAAGTTTTTATTTCTGATATATATTGTTTAAGTCATTCAAAGCTATAATGATAAAAGGAAAATGGAGACCAGTAGACATCACATTGTCGATAAATACAAGTATAATATGGAAAGACAGTTTTGTTTCCAAATGAATTTTAATTAGCATTCCAATTGTAATATATAGGTTCAAATTCCCTGTTTAAAACCAGTTATTTTTTAGTGAGCTCTGAGGTTCCCTTGATTCGGCAATGCAAAGGACCACCATTAAAGCTTAGGATGCTTTTCATAAATATTGATAGCCATAGGGCAAAAATGGCGACACTTTGTCTTCTGCAAAAAAAAGTAGTGGATTCCATGACCCCAAGCCACCAACTTGCAGACCAATTAGTGCTTAGGTTACCCAGGGAAAAGGGAAATGGTGGCCTTAAAAAGATATTGAAACGGAAAGAAGATGTATACATCCAGGTGACGTGGTGATGATAAGGAATATTCTATATAATCATAAACAAGACACATAGGGCCTGAAATGGATCTTCTTTCTACATATTGCCCCCAAAAGTTGGAAACAATCTCTTCTCTTGTTCTTGTTGATGTCCAAACCAAGTTGTAAATGGCATCTTTCAGGCTTTTACTACACAAAAAATACCCATATTATCTTTTTCAAAGTTAACAATGAAATTACCACGTTAAACTCGCAAGCATACTAGTGTTTATCAGTAGCTTTTTGAAGCTTCAAAATGAGTTAATGATAACTGTATCCGAATTGTTTCGGAGTAAGCTCCGAGGATGTTAATGCTGATTGTTTTGAGAGACTTACATGAACTAACCGACTGATGAACAACCTATTAGCTGCAGGTAAGTCATTTGATAATTCAATACAAAATAGATTGATCAGTGCTAATGTGCTTAAACCATTTTCATTTTCAGTAAATTTGTTTTTCAAGAATCTTTTTCCCCTATGAAAATAGTATAATGTGTTGCAGCCTGTCATGTTTGACAGTAAGCTATAAAGAGGTACCAATACACCCTCATTTTGATCAATTCTACATATGATCAAGCTGCTACTTTCGGTTGCCCTCGCTTTGCACTTGGATTATGTTATTCCAAAGTGAAACACATGGCTGGTCCACCTCTAGCTGCAATTACTGAACTTGCTTGAGACCAAATCTATAATTAGTTTATGCAGATCAGTGATTTAACGATGGGACCACATCGATTTGGTTTGGTTTCCAGCATTGACTCTGTAAACCAAGTACAATATCCATGGCTTGCCTGGTATAATCACCACAAGGCTACGTCTCTTGTCTCATCATATTAGCGGATGATTTTTCATTGGCCAATCTCTTATAAGTTTATGTTTAGGATGATTGCGCAGTTATACATGGTAAAAAGAGGTAAGCTGACGACTTATTCAGTACGAAAAAGAAAAGGAACAAGGTACGGAAAAAGATCGAGCAAGCCAGCTAAAAAAGTTTTATAATGTTGTATAGAAAGAGAGTAACAACAAAACATAAGGCAAAAGGCTAAAATGAGTGAGATTTTTACTCTGATTACAGCTTGACAGCACTATTAGACTTTGAAGCCTTTCACTGGTCAGCAATGGTGAACCCGTGAATGCTTAAACTATGGACCCACCTGATGAAGATTTGTAGTCTACTAGTGTATATACATCGCCATTACTGTACTTCATCTCTCCCTCCCTCTATAGGGAATGTACTTTCGATAACTCCACTTGGAAGATATTTTTTTTCTTAATGTAGATACCCTTTTACTTAAATGCTTAATCAAATTCAAAGCTGATTTTGCAGAATTCTAGTATAAATTAAAGCAATGTGTTTTACATAATACCTTACGAAGTCAAGCTGTTTTTGCGAAGGAAAGCAACAGCAAAGTAATAGACACAAAGCTCACTGGCCCACCATTCAAAACCCTTTCTTTCTTCCTTTTCTCTCTCCTTGTACTATATAAAGGCCGGAATTCACAGTAATTTGATCATACAATCTTCTACATATTTCTTTCTTTGTTTTGGGGTTTTCTCGGACCCTTAATTTTGATCGTTACTTTTCTCTGCAATGGCGTCAGCTTCGAGCTGGACGCCAAAGCAAAACAAGTTGTTTGAGAACGCTTTGGCTATCTACGACAAGGACACACCCGACCGGTGGCACAAGCTGGCGAGGGCTGTCGGAGGGAAGACCGTGGAGGAAGTGAAGCTGCATTACGAGAATCTCGTCGAAGACATCAAGCAGATTGAGTCTGGACATGTGCCTTTGCCCCCTTATAAGAAAGCTGGAGGGAGCAAAGGCTACAATTTCATGGATGATGAGCAAAGGTATATAATTGAACTGAACACGAATCAGTTTCAAATACTCTATATATTAGTATAATTTATGGTCATAACCAAGAGTCAAAGACTGATATTCTCGTGTGGTTGTGGTGCAAGATGAGGAATCTAAAGCTTTAATCAAGGGTAGCCTGTAAACAAAAACTTCAATAAAAGGAAGTGAAGACAAGCAACAAATATAGAAATATTATTCTATTTGGTTTTTCATTTCCTCTTGATCATGATTGTTTTCAATGATAATAAATATATGTGTGTGCGTTGAATGTAATAAGCTGTTATTCAAAGTAATAATTCGAGACGAAATTGGACATGAGAAAATAAAATAAAAAGGAAATTAAATTTCTTAAATAATAAAGAAAATAATATAGAAAGAAAAAAAATACTCTTTTGATAGATCAATCGATCGGAACAGTTGAGGTATGTCACTACACAGTTTTCTTAAGATCGATTTTCAGCCACTCCTTTGGTGCTCGAGATCGTTGGTCACCTATATCCCAGGATACAGCAACTAGATGATATTCAAATAGTAGCACAAACTTTCAAGATCACCTACTTCTTAACTTTGCCTATCACCGGAAAACTAAGAAGAAAAAAAAGAAATTTTCAAGATTTATGAAGTTCTTGAATTCTGAAATGTGTAAAACCAGGAAGATTAGCTCTTTATTTATAAGGGATTTTCAAGAGAAATTTACTCCAACTAAATATCTTTTAATATTCAAATTTAAACAAATAATAATATCTTTTAATTTGCAATATTCAAAAGATTTAAACTCTTTTTACTATTTAAATTTAAATAGATATTATTTTAATTTGAAATATTCAAAGTATATAATCATCTTTTAACATTCAAAGCTAAATAGATAATAAATATATATTATTAATTTGACATATTTAAAAGAGTAATTATCCTACTAATATTCAAATAAAATAATATCTCTTAATTTGTAATATTTAAAAGTAATATGAATTTAATTTAAATATTAAATCCATCAAAAAGTTCACCCTTTTTAAAATAATCCCCCACATGAATGAAATTTATGATTTTATCAAAACATTTTGACACGATCTAGTGATAGATTCTACGATCGATAGTTGCATATGATATGTAGGTGTCCTCCTTTGAACCTTCCCTTGTGACATTATATTTACTTTATTGACTAACCAATAGACGTGATGTCTATGAACTGTTCTTTCGTTTGTGTAAACGATGACATACTTCACAAAACTACCATTTTGATAAGAATTAAATTTTTATGGGTATGTCTTTAAAGCCATGGACATCACCTAGTTCTGCAAGAGTTTGAAAAAACTATGCCCAATAGTCTCCTTGAAGCGGTCCCACTTCACTCTCACATATGTGACTTATGTTGCTCGGCTCATGGAAGCACACAAAGGTTATTAAAAGCTTTGCTTATCCTATAACACCTTGATCATTATTCACATTATATGAATGGGCTTGGGATGAGAGACCCCCACAATAATCATACACAATTTATGAAATTAGGTTGTCCCTTTGAACCTGGATCTTGGGATCTCCAGTTAGTTAGGTAGGGTTTCCCCTCACATAACGCCTTTAAGTTTCATGGTCTTTAGTCCTATTCCTTTAGATGTTTTCTCAACTTGATCTCGATTTAACCCTTTGGTTAGCGGATCTGCAATGTTATCCTTTGATCTTACAAATCAATTGAGATAACTCCATTTGAGATCAGTTGTTTAATGGTATTATGTTGACGACGCATATGTCTCAATTTACCATTATATATGAAATTTTGTGCTCTAGAAATTGTTGCTTGGTTATCACAATATATGCATATTGTGGGCACAAGTTTCAGTCATTCTAGAATATCCTCAAGAAAGTTTCGAACCCATTCAGCTTCTTCTCCAGACCTGTCTAGAGCTACAAACTTAGATTCCATTGTGGATCTAGTTCTAACAGTTTGTCTTGAGGATTTCCAAGACACAACTCCTCCTCATAAAGTGAATACATATACACTTGTGCATTTGTTATTTTGAATATTAGATATCCAACTAGCGTTAGAGTATCCTTCTAAGACAACAGGATCTCTCGAATAATGCAATCCATAATCTCGAGTATATCTAAGATATCTTAGTATCCTTGTTATTGTTTTCCAGTGATTTTCCCTTAATTTGCTTGTGAATCTGTTTAGACTACTCACAGTGAAAGCGATGTTTGGTCTAGTACAGCTCATAAGATACATTAGGCTACCTATGACCCTTGCATGTTCCACCTGGTGAACACTTTCACCTTGATTTTTAGATAGATGTGAACAAGATTCTATTGGAGTTATGACTATACTAGAATCATCCTTGTTAAATTTCTCAAGAATCTTGTCCACATAGTGTGACTGAGTTAGTAAAGGGCATTTAGATGACCTTTTAATTTCGATACCCAATATTGTATCAACCAATCCCATATCTTTCATGTCAAATCTTGAATCTAACATGTCTTTGGTACGTTTTACCATCTCATTGTTACTCCCAACAATGAGTATGTCATCAACATACAAACATAGAATAACATATCCAATGTTTGTACTTTTGACATATACACACTTGTTACACTCGTTTATATTGAATTCATTTGCCATCATGACACTACCAAACTTCTCATGCCATTGTTTTGGTGCTTGTTTAAGTCCATACAAAGACTTTACCAACCAACAAACTTTCTTTTCTTGTCCTAGAACTATATGACCCTCAGGTTGTTCTATGTGTATTTCTTCATTAAGGTCTCCATTTAGGAAAGTTGTTTTAACATTCATTTGATGTACTTCTAGATTTAGCAAAGCAGTATTTACGAGTATCATTCTTATGGATTTTATTCTTGATACAGGAGAGTGTGTATTAAAGTAACCAAGGCCTTTCTTTTGTCGGTATCCTTTTCTTACCAATCTAGCCTTGTACTTATCAATTGTTCTATATGCCTTCATTTTTTGTTTGAAAATCCATTTAGAATTTAGTGGTTTAATCCCCGAAGGAATATCCACTAACTCCCATGTATGGTTCTACGTGATGGAGTCTATTTTGCTTTTACTGGCTTCCTTCCACAAGGTGCCTTAAGAGGATCATATAACTTTACTATACGTTTGAAGTTCACTCTCCAACATAAAGGTTTGGAAGTTTGGTCCAAAGGATCTTTCCACCCTTGATCATTTGCTCCTTATTAGCTCTATTTAAGTTTCAGCCTCTTATTGATCATCTAGACTAATTACATCATTAGTCTTGAAAGTTCATTTTATTGAACTTTAATCAACCTCCCTAGATTTATAAAGGGAAACATTTTCAAAGAATGATGCATTCTCTGACTCTATTATCGTGTTCTCATGAATCTCAGGATTCTTTGATTCATACATGTAATACCCCATATTTTGGCTAGTGACTAAAATGTAAGTTTTGAAATTTTAAGGGCTAAAGTATAAACTTTGTAAAAGTTAAGGGATAAAAATGTAATTTTGAAAAGTTATAGATTTTAGTCCGTAAATGAACAGTTTGGCGTAAAACAATGATTTTTGTGGGAATCAGATTTTCAGTACGTGATTTGTGTTAAAGGCTATAAAGTGATAAAGCTCGATATTGAAATCAGATAGTCAGTCGAACCATAATTTTATGAAAATTTGAAGGATGTTAGAAAATGGTTGAAAATATTATTTCCATATTTTATATTAAATAAATTTGGCTTAGAACAGTGTAATTTTTCAGATTTGGTTGAACAATGGAAAATTAGTGACTAAAATGCAATTTTCAAAACTTGCATGGCCAAAGTGAAAAGTAAAATACCGGATGATTCATCATTGACTAAGGAATATTTTATTGGAAGATAATTCATTGGCATTTGGTAATTTTCAAGTTTTATTAATGGTATTTTTGGAAATTCTTATTAAATTCAGTGTTAAATTCAATTATATTATAAAAATGCCAAATGTACAAGTTATTAAATACAAGAATAATGTAGATAAATCAACATTTTCAACTTGTTATTTTATCGTGGCTGAAACCTACATGGCTATCACGGTATGATCTTTAATTTGATTTTTGAAGTTTTATGGTTGATTTTTGGACTAAGCTATTAGATAGAGAATTAATCTACATGAAATTCTCTATTATTTGGTATAAATATTACATGGTGTTCATGATTATTTCATGAGATTTGGAAATTATGGTTTATGTAAAGTTTAAGAATTTTGAAGAATTGATGAAGGATTTTTATGTTAGTGGTTAATCCTAAGGTATGTCTAATGATTAAAATTAATTGTACGTGCTTATATGATGTTTGACCATGCTAGGGTTCTAGAGAGTGATTGGATTTTAATTTAATTTGATATTATTATGATTAGAATAGCATGAATTTTATGTTAGCAAGTTGAATTCATGCTTGAAATTGAATATAAATCATATCTAAAGCTACTTGAAATATTCGGCCATATGAAGAAATTAGGGGATAATTATGGAAAATTTTCCTATGGCCTAGAAATGATATTTGAAGTATTCTATAAGACTTGGAGATCAATTTGTAAGCTTGATATGGTAAAAAGGGCTAACATACAAGTTCTGAGAAATATGGGACATTATTGCAAAAAATGTAATATTTAAAGGATTAATGCTAATTTTTTTATAGTTTAAAATTTTGGAAATTTAAGTTGGAAAGTTGTTTGGAACCAAATTGCAAATTTGGTAAAATTTGAGGGTGGAATTCAAAAAGTCTCAATATTATAGGGATTTAATTTTAAGTTTATTAAATGTGGAAGTATCATTTGAGTAAATTATTGTAATGCTGTAAATTTATTTAATATGCTGATTTTTGGGTTTAATTCTTAAGTTGAGATTTAATTTCAAGTTTATTAAGTTGTGTGGTTGAATTTGGAAAGTCTAAGAAAGTTTAGGATGAAATTGCAAGATTTTGAATGTTTAAGTGTTGATTTGAATATTTTATTGAGGTGTTGGAAATTTTATGAAATTAATGTGAAATGATCATAATGGTGAAGGGTCATTATGGACTAAATAGGAAAGTTGATATGAATTCTAAAAAGAATTCATAATTAGTGGTTGAATTATGAAATTAGTAAAAGTTGAAGAGTTGATAGTGAAACGAAACATTCATGGAATTTAAAGAGTAATTTGATAAGTTTGAAATTA